TCGAGTACAACAGTGCTATTGAGTTCTTATTTCAAGTTGAAATCTTAATTACTTAAATATTTTTAAAGATCATTTTAGCACATTTGAAATACAGACAACTTTCTGAAGTCTGTTGTGTGACCTCGGTGTCCTGTACCAGACCTTTGTCTTTGAAAACACAGGCATTGCCTTTGCTTCCGCCAGCTCCTTAGCTGATGGCAAGCAGTCATCCAAGATCTCACACACGTGTTTTCTTTCAGTGTAACTCAAACCAAGCCAAAATCAATCCATTCTTCCCTCAGAAAAACTAAAATCAAAAGTTGAGGGAAAGTGATCTCCATAGCTGTGTCTTATGGATGTGAACACAACTTTCTCTGAACTAGGTGGGATAGGACTGGGATCTGATCTCTTTGTAGTAATGCGTTGCTAGGCACATTTTATGTTGGGTGTGGGGAAGCAGGGACTGGTAAAACTAAGAGAAACATACATTTCACAAGTGGAACTGCAGTCAACAAAACCAGGTAACCTAACGATGCTTTCACACTTGATTGATCCCAACCTGCAAGTATCATCTCTTTGAAGATAGTAATGCATCAGCTGATAGATCAGCTAAAAGGAGAGAACTGTCTGGGACATCTTTACAGCTGAAGGTCAAAAAATCCCGCATACCTTGTGATGCTATTTTCACAGTGCACATACCTCTTTGCCCCTCTTTCCTGGCTCTGCGTTCCAAAATCCTCAAGTCTCCTCTGTATCTTTCCAACGGAATTTGTCTTCCCTTACAAAAACTAGATTTTAAGGTTTTTCCATGAGTCATGTGAAATGTTGGGGTTCTTTTCCAAGCTCTTTCAACAGATGTTTCAAAGGATGTTGATACATGACATGAATTTATGCTTTGGGTCTGGTATATAGGCGGTGCTGCAGTCCCAGGAGGCTTGTTGTCTTCCTAACTGTTACCATTCCCCACATAAGGTGGATGTTTCTGGAAGGGCTACAAGGTTTTAATTTGTAGTTCCTTGCTGCCTTTTGCTACCTACAGCTAGCTGAATGAGTAGATATATGAGATTAGAGCTCATTTGTTTGCAGTGAACTGAATTTGTAGAAATCTGTCTTTGCCAGAAGTCAGAAAGAGGTCAAATTTCTGTTTCTCTTGGACTGCCTTCCTTGTTTGCTTTTGTAGGATCTCTTTCACAGATTTGAAAGTCTGTTCTGTTGCAGGCAGTCATACAGAAAAATAGATAGTTAGGTTTGACAAGCTTGTTTGAGCTATGTGATTGGTTGATATGATCCAGATTCCCCAGTATTCGATTTTTTTTATACCTGTGCTTTGCTGATTCATTTTAATGAAGGACAGATGGGCTAGTAAGTATCTTTTCTGTTTGAAGGAAATCAGATTGGAGAAGTACATCTGAGACCACAGGAACAGTGAAACCTAGGAAGGGATGAGCAGAACAAACAGCTTTAGAACCACTCGGTTTCTAATGTTCTAAATCTGCCTGTTTTGACTAATCCATGTGTTGGTTAAAATAATGAAAGTTGTTCCTTTTTTTTTTTTTTTTCTTTAACAGGTGTGATAGTTGAGTCAAATCTACTAAACTCAGAAACAGATGCATGGACGAGCTTGCCTGATGTTCCATATGAACCAGACCTTGATATTGAAATAGACTTTCCAAGAGGTATTTTTTCTGTCATTTTAATAAATATTGTGGACAGTGTGGGCCATCACTGTACTGTGTTTCATCATCCTTTCATAGGAGCTTTCTTTTGATTGCAAGATCCACTTGACTGACTATTAGGTGAAACTTTGCCGTGTCTTTGCGAGACTGGGGAGTTCTGAATTAGTTCCTCCATCTTTCTAAAAGTATGGTATTTGGAGTAGAATGCAAAAAAGGGGGGGAAATTAAACTTTCACAAAAGTGCTTGGCTACGTCACTTGGTTTTGGCCATGGATGTAGAAAAGCTAATTTAAAGGCTCAAAGAGTCAGGGCATGTGTCATGGAAAACAATAATGAATGCATTCTTCTATCACCAGTTATTTCCATGGGAAATGGTGGTTTAGAGCAGAAATTATAAAAGGGCAAATTTCCTGCTCAAGTTTGTTAGAAAATTGCAAGCTGATATGCTGCACATCACCTGTGTTACCTTTTAGTATCTTGTTAAGCTTCATAACAGTAGCTGGAAAAGCATTTTTTGAATTAGCAGGAAAACCACTACTTTGAGACCTTTTATGTGTTGTAATTTCTACCACTCTACAGAATGCAGGCAGCAGTGTTTGTTTCCTAATACTATGTCCTAATCAATCCAAGATCCATGGAAGCTCCTGGCTGTAACTAGTATCTCCCTTGACTTAACTCATACCTCCCCTGGTTAGCTTCTACATCTGATGTTGAAAGTCTCCTTTTGCCTTGTGCCATAGATATCCATACTAGATGCCCAGAATGGATTTCTCAGTTTGCTGTATGTCCAGTTTAAAGGTCAAGTCTAGGGGTTAGTCTGACCTTAGTCTTAGAAAGTTTATTAGCCAGGTGCATACTAGATTTTTAATCCTCTTTGTAAGTGAGGTGTGGTACATGAGAAAAAAACATGGAAGAAAAAATAATCAGAGTGGAATAGTAAAAGATAGCAGTTTGTAATAGATATTGATTACACTTAAGTGCTTCTGAGATGAGATTCTTTGTGGTTGCAGGAGGAGGACTGGTGTTTAGTCTGGGCAGAGTTCTTAAATCTTTGCATGTGAATGCTGCTTAACCTAGACCAGTTTGAATGGTGTCTTGAGTGGTAAGGTGGAGAAATCAGGCTATTAGAAGAGCATTAGGTTTTGACTTAAGACATTTTTGATGGCTAAGTGAGGGATGAACCATGTTCAGTAAGTAAATAAACGGTGGAACTTGCAACATTTAATCCAACCATATGTTATCTCATTCCACTGTGTTGGAAACTAAACCCAGTTTCTCTGAAAGAGTTTATGTTCTGATTCTTATGTTTTTAACAAAGTGTAATGTGATGTATAAAATATAAAACATGAATAGAAATGATGGAAATACATGAACAAAAGTGCATGGAGTAAGTTAATTTGTATTTTTTCCACTCCTAGCTGTTCATTCTCACCCTAACTTAAACCTCTTAATACCAAAAACTGCCTAGGCAGGAAAAATTGTGTAAGAGTCTGTAGTAAGAAATGATGCCTTTGTGACTTGAGATAATGCTTGCAAATGTTGAGCATCGTATCCTTTATAATTGATTTAGGAATAAGCATTTTGATAGCTTTGGCTTACTTTCAACATAAGAATAGGTTTATTTCATAGAACCATAGAATGGTTTCGGTTGGAAGGGACTTTTAAAGGTCATCTAGTCCAACACCCCTGCAATGAGCAGGGACATCTTCAGCTAGATCAGGTTGCTCAAAGCCCTCTCCAGCCTGACCTTGAATATTTCCAGAGATGGGGCATCCACAGCTTCTCCGGGCAACCTGTTCCAGTGCCTCGCCACCCTCATTGTAAATAAAATTCTTCTTTATAAGCTGTGGTTAATTTTTTTTCCCAAACCAATATTATTCAAAGATGTTCAGAAATAAGTTTCTGTTAATGTGTTTTCAGCAACTGAGGAGCTTGATACAGAAAATGAGTTTTTATTACCTCCTGTTTTTGGGGAAGAATATGAGGAACAGCCAAGGCCTCGGTCCAAAAAGAAGGTAATTTTGTAATGCTATTAAAAAAATCAAAAAGCATAAAATTTAAATGGGAAAAAATATGCCAGGTTTTTGATTTTTTTTTTTCAGTTATCATACTGCTCTAAAACATGTCACTGCATATTTATTACCTAATATCCTGTCTTTATGGTATAAATTTATATATTTCAAATAATTATTTCAGTTCTATGTGTGTTGCAGCTACCTTGTATTTAATAGGAGTGTGAGTTCTAAATTCTGATCACATTTTTGCTTCACATTACTGTTGTAATGTACTAGTGCGTATATACTTACTGTACTTCTAGTAATGCTTTTTTATCTTCTACTTTGAATGAAGCTTGCTTGGTTTCATTTGCTACTAGAATGGAAGAAAGTTGGCATTACCATGGCTTATAGTGGGAGCTATAGCATCTCTTGTATAAAATAGTTCAAAAAAAACCATTTTTATTTGCTTGTAGTTTCCCCAGATTTTATTTTCAGTCAAAAATCTTAGTTTAGACGTTTTAAATAAATGAGCCATATTTTATTTAGAAGGAAACTATCAGGAAGCAGAGTTTCTCACCCATGTTGGCTTTTCCATTGATGAGTCCAGTTGAGCCTAAAAGTTGACCTTCTGACATAATTTGTAGCATCTTAAACTTCCTGCACATTAACACAATGAAATCCTATAAATACACTGAATTCTTTGGTACATCATGTGTTTGTTCCTTGATATGATATAACCAATACAGCAACTCCATTATCAAAAATTATTCTGTGTTAAGAACCAGTTTGGAAGGTGAATTAGAAATGTCTGTCAGCTTAAGTAAATGCTGTCCTCAGAAGTAAGTTCAACACAGATGCTACCTACTGAATGAAGCTTATGTTTCTGTACACTGAACCTTCAGTGTGCAGTTTGCCCAGCTTCTGTGTTATTATTTTAGTGGGTGTTGACGGTGTTAACCACTGTGTTTCAATGGCAGGGCGTGAAGAGGAAAGCGGTGTCAGAATACCAGTCTCATGATGACAGCTCTGAAAACTCAGAGTGTACCTTTCCATTCAAGTACACATATGGTGTAAATGCATGGAAGCACTGGGTAAAGTCTCGGCATTTAGATGAAGAGCTTCCAGAACTAGAGGAACTGAAATCAAGTAAGTATTTAAAAAAATATGGCATCCAGGTTTTTATTTGATAGAGAGAATCCGTCTGATTTTCAGCTGGAATCCTTAATAGAAGTTTTCACATGTCCCTAATGTTTCCACAGTGACTGGAATTGTTTGTTTGTTTTTGGATTTTTAAACACTTTTCCTTACTTGGTTCAAAATGCAGTTCTCATGCAAGCCAGGACAGCACCTTCCTGGCTCTCCTGACTTCTCATGATGGCTTTTTTTTTTTTTAAATCCTGTTTTTCCCTGTATTGTAACTTGCCTTGGAGGTTATACTTTTTCTGTACATCAACTTCTAAATTGCAAGGGAGGGACATCCTCCTTCTTGTCATGGAAAGGTGTCTTTGTCTGAGGCTGGCATCACCTGGCTGTGGAGCTCTGATGTGAGGTGGCCTTCCCTCCTGTGGAGCCTTGCTGCTCTTTGAAAAGATTTGCACTGTGGGGAAGAAGGGGGATTGCTAAAAAAACTGTTCTTCAGCTCCCATGTACATCTTAGCACTGCTGTGTTATGCTGTTGGATCTGTGAAAACTGCTGTTTCCCCTGAAGGTCACCCTCCTACAGCGCTGTCTTCACTTCAGCATCTTGGGCCACTTCTGTGTCACTGTCAGCTGTGCATGACAGTACATCGCCAGTGGGTGAGGCTGGATTTGGTTAATTAGACTTTACTGTGGTAGCCCTGTTTTTTTAATGCAGACCTAACATTTGAACTACTTAGTACATTTAGACTTGTTCATTGGTTAGCAGAGAGGACATCAAGCCAGTTTGCTGCTTTCCAGTCCAAAAATACCCCATCCCAGCCTCACCATGTAATAACTGTGTTGTATAATGTAGCATTTTTTCTCTGTTTTGCAGCAAAGTCTGTGAAATTAAAGGAAGATCTGTTATCACATACTTCAGCTGAGTTAAACTATGGGTTGACACATTTTGTCAATGAAATTCGAAGGCCAAATGGAGAGAACTATGCACCTGACAGCATCTATTATCTGTGTCTTGGGATTCAGGAGGTTAGTAGAGGCTGTAGAAATGGGAAGCAGAGCTGCTGATTTGACCGTAACCCATTTCAGTGGAAGAATGGAGATAATGTGGATTTATTGGCTATGAGATATTCTTAGTATAATGGCTACGATCTGGAACACAGAGAGGCTGCTGTGGAAATCACATTGTAGGAAGCTGTCTGTATAGAAAATGAGTTGGCAGACCCATCCTGAAAATGCAAATGTAAACCGGTATATTGTAATAATTTTAAGCTTCTTGCTGGGTTAAAGCAAGGAATTTGCAGTCTAAAATGACAAGAGTTTTTCCAAATGCTGTGCTTCATTTTGTTTGTTAAAGATGGCTTAATGTGAAAACAGAATGAAACAAGGCATGATCTGTAAATGTCTTACTAATTCAGTTACTTAGCATATAGTGGAAACAAGCTATTTGAAGTGTCTTTTTGGGGCAGTCTTAATTTACTGGATATTACAGACTGTGAGCAGTCAGGCTCTTTTGTAGAGTGCAGGAAACTCTGCTATATTGACTGTCTTACACACACCCCCTGCCCCCGAATTGTAATTGCACTGTATTTTGAAGATAAAGGGAGTCAATGTAGATGTATTGTATGTCAAGATATTAACATATCACTAGATAATTAGAAAAGCTATTCCACAGCTTATCTTTTAGGCAGAGGATGTCTTAATTTTTAGTGCATAAGGCAAATCATAGATAAAATAAGCAGTGTTCAGAGCTGAGAACACAGAAGAGCAAAAAGAGCAGAATAGCTACACTGGACTTCA